GTGGTCCTGTACTTTGCTAAGCTTGTTCTAAGTAGGTGCTTTAGACCACTGAGCCATCTCACCAGCCCTATTTTTCTTTTCCTGAAGTGTGTATACATTTTTGAGGGGGTGATTTGTCTCTTTCTCTTTGGAGGGGGGGAGAGCAGAAGAATAAATACACATTAAAAATTTCCCCAGATCAGATTACCCAAATACCAAGTCCAAACAAAGAACTAATCTGGTAGCACAAAACTATAGATGCTCCTTTAAAATTCTTACAGACTAAACAGTAATTTACAGGGTATTCAGGTGTTTAATACAAACATGCTTCAAATACAACATGAAACAGATTAACCACCACATATTGTTAGTTCTTCATAATTCACAAAATGACAAAAGCCATAGTAAATTATGTTTTTAAGAAATGGGAAAACTGTGTGGGGATAAAGACAGTCATGTGTCCTTTTTACAGCCACATGCCCAGCTCAAATACCTCAACCAAGCAACATTTGCATCATTCAAGAAGTCTTCTTTGGGAGGACAGGAGGGGGCAGGGGGGCATGGGGGGGCACGGGAAGATGACATACAACACAACACAATACAGAATCTCACTAAGCCCAGGCTGGCCCTGAGCTCATCACAATCAGAGAAATCTCTAAGCTATAAACTATAGATTCAAGTGTTGTATTTTTATTAAATCCAAAATCCATTTTTAGAGAGAAATTATTACATATAGAAAAAATTAAAGGCTGTAACAATGCTTTGGATATTTTTAAGAAGTTTATAAGTTGATTGCTTATCCTCGTCAAGAAAGCTAACACTTCTTCTCTGAAGAGAAAGGACAGGCACTGAGTTGTTTTAAGAAATCACTGCTTGTTTCTGAAAAGTCACCCCCAAAATGTTCAATTCACAATAGTGAGACCTAAACCAGGTTTACTTAAACTTCACTTCTCTCTTCCTTTATCTGCCCCCTTGTGGAGGAGTGGGAAAAAGATGGAACCCAAGTAAAGTCAGTGAAATTCAGAGAAAAAAATTAAGTCAAGGAAGAGTTATCAATATAAGTGAGTTCATTTGCTCCTGAGGCACCTGTTTTTGCTTTAAAAAATATATACTGATTGAACACTAAGTCATTTTATATGTTGAAAAAGGAAGACCCAATGCTCTTTCATAGAAAAAAACCTGAAATACCTATGGATGAAATTTATCTGATATACAGGTCTGTTTCAAAATGGTCTGAGGCTAGCAGAGCACTGATGAAACAAGACTGCTCCTGCACACTTACACTGCTGCAGGTGATCAGTCTGTCTGTTCCTGTGTGACTGAAATTTTCCACAATAAAAAGGATGCCACTATATGAGGTAAATCATCTAAGTAAGCCAATCAATTCTTTCTACTTCACAAAAATGGACAACTGTTCCAATTACTCTTTTAGTTTTATTTCTTTTACTTTTTAATGTTCCATTATTTCAGTGAAAAGTAATTCTGGAGCATATACTAAGTAACTGAACAGAGCTTTATCAAATTTACTAACAACTTTATGAAATACTGGGTTGAGCAAGTATGCATAAGTTATACAATCTAGTTCCATTTACTAAGGATTTGGAAACTGATATTAAAATGGTATTAAAAGACTTATTTTTAAAAACGAATTATTTTTGAATATTCAAAAATACTCCTTTCCTATGTGGGGTTAATTGAAAAATCTGGGGCCAATTTCTTTCTAAGGACACTGAGATCTGCCTGGAAGAATTTGTGACCTAAAATTATACCTAAAAATCTACAAAATGTATGTAGATTTTACATTTACTAAACATCTTAGCTATATGTCAAATGTATTAATACCTTACGTACTTATAAAAGGCTACATGATTTTTAAAATGAGATGGGATAGGACAGATAAATGAGTTCACATAACCATAACAAAATAGTTGGTGTCAGAGCTTTGGTAGCTAGCAGAAGCATTCTGGCTTAGGGTGAGAAGGATGATATTTTAGGGACTCCAAGTGCTGAAGAAATCTAAATTCTACAAAGTTCAAGCACAGAATAGAAGCACCAGAAGCCAAGGGAGTGTTACTGATTTTACTTTTAGAAATTCACAAAGGCTTACTCTAACTAAGTCTTCCTCATCCTAACTAAACCTGCAGTAGAAATTCAATGAAGAATAAGACAATTCTCTTAGTAAGTGGACAATTACTTCAAAAATTAGTATTACAAAAGGAAATGAAACTTTCATCCAGAGTCTTTTATCATTCTCTACTTTGTCTTTTAAAATTGTAACAAGTATATTCTCCAGAAGTATGTCTATGTACTAGATTTTTATATTATAGAGAAATGATATGTTTAAGAGAACTCTTTCCACATATGAAATATACATAGGTTATACTATAATTATAAACACCAGTTTCAAAGTCTTTCAATCTTCTTTAAATTGTGGTTTTAGTTTCTCCTAATTGTGGTCTGTTTTTAAACACATGCTATCCCTAGTACTGTCATCATGGGCAAAGTTCCTTAAAAATTGAATGGATGTGAATTTCTTACATGTGGCCCACAGCATGGAGATTTGTGAGTTTCATGTCTGAGCTATGAGAAAATACTTTTCCCAAAAATTATTTTAAAGTTTTGAGTTTTGCCTTCTAGCTCCGAATCTGGAAAGGATTTTTATCTCTGGCATATTTGTCCTCTATTAAGAAAGTGCACTTAAGGAAAAAAGAAGGAAGTGCACTTACTGAACTTCATTGGACCATTTGCCTAGTATCTACATGAAGGCCCTGGACTTAAACCCTGGCTGCACAAAAAAGAAAAAAATGCACCATACAAAGAGGCCACATTTGATTTTTTTTCTTTTTTTTTTGAAGAACTAATTTACAACTACAGACAGCTTCCTTCTTTCTGCCAGCCAACATGGTAGCAATACTATTTTTTCATAATAATATGCATAATAACTTTTATAGTTAAGACATAGCCTTTCCACTATAAATAACATATAATGATCCCCAAACAATAAAACTCAACACATAATTATCCCCAAACATAATAAAACTCAAGGTTAAGCATGAAAATAACAAAAGGAACTGTGGAGTCGTACGTAGTACATGCCTCTAATTCTGCAGGAAGGTCACAAGTTGAGGATAGGCTGGGCAACTTAGTAAGACAATACCCCTTAACCCAAAAAGTATTAAACAGAACAGACTTTTAAAAAATGTTATTCTGAAGCTGGGTGTGATTGTACATGCTTGTAAAACACAGCATTTGGGAGGCTAATGTAGAACTGTCATGAATCTGAGGCTAGCCTGGTGTACATGGGCTACATGGTAAGACCCTCCTAATAGTGTATCCTTGACTTACAAACTCAATTTTTTCATGTGGGCTGGTTGTAACTCAAAACTATTTTTCCTGTAAGAACTAATAGAAATATAACAAAATGTATGTAGATTTCATATTTACTAAATATCTTAGCTATACAAATAACAAATGGGGCTGGCAAGATAGCTCAGTGGACTAAAGTGCCTACTTAGGCAAGCACAGGGACCATGGTCCAATCCTTGGCACCACATGCCGCACCAGCTCCACCCCTGGCTGAGCTGGCCACTGAGTCCGGGTATAGTAGCGCACGCCTATAATCCCAGGCTGGGGAGACTGAAAAGAAGAGGATCACTATGAGTCTAAGCTGTGTAATGAAACACTGTAACAACCAAATATGAGAAATTGAGAGAGAGAGAGAGAGAGAGAGAGAGAGAGAGAGAGAGAGAGAGACAGACACAGACAGACAGACACATACCCATAATGCATTCTGAACCTCCCAAAGCAACTCTTAACTAAGCTTTTCATAATAAAATTTTTATAATGTGCATAATTTACCACAAACACCAATAATTTTCCTAGTGTATTCACCAAAAACATA